TTCCGTTTACCTCAAAGCACATATAGGGTTTCCTTCTTGCCTGGTAAGTATTTTTGGTGATATGATGTCACCACGGGCACATGGAGATGGCCTTAGGCAGCGGGAAGCCGGGAGCCCCGAGCCGCCCCCATCCTGGTCCCCGGGCAAGTCCTGGCTTCTGTTACCCGGACTTCCCACGCTCCATCATCCGCGTCTCTGGAACATAACTGAATTTTGACGCAACACTTTTTTTTTTTTTAGCCAGATCTGGTCTATGCAGCATGGAAATATTTCTCCTCCCCACCCCACCCTCCACACCCCCAGACAGGCCAGTGCCAGGGTCCCCCGGCCCCTCTCCTAGATCCCAAAACACAAGAGTGTTTCTCAACCTTCAACCCACGGGCAGCCACAACCTTCTGGCTGCCCAGTGAATACTTGTGGTCTGACCCCTGTTTCCTCATCTCCCCACTCCTGGAATGTGTACACAAGATGCAGAAAAAAAAATCCACAGAATCATTTGGGTGGAAACCCCGTTAAGGCTCAGACACCGTTGAAGATGCTGGTTCACAGCCACATAAAACAAAAGGGCAAACCAAGAGCGCAGCGCACGTAGCCTGGGGTCAAGGCCGCCGGCCAGCGCCCTCCTGCTCCGGTTTTGGCGTTTCTCCGGCTACAAAGCGGCCGTGTTCCATGAGGCACAGACCACAGCTTGCCCGCAGGAGGGGTCTGCGCTCCTGTTTCTGTCCAAACCGGTCAATAACTTTTTTTTTAAATATCAAGTCCTTTTCTGGTAGGGGCGTGAGTCATGCCTTCTTGCAAAGGTTGGTGACGAAATCCGCAGATTTTTGCTTCTCACGGTCACACCAGATTTTCTCAGGAGTTTTTCTCCAGTGAGCGAAGCCCAGGAAATCCTTTAGAAAAAGCAATGGCCCATGAAGATGAAAGGGGAAAAAGCCAAGAGGTGGTGGGACTTAAGACTGCGGGGTGCACCCCCCCCGCACCCCCAGACAGGGTGCCGTCCGCCGGAGGGCCAGTCACATGGGAACCAGCGCGACACTCGGTGTGTCCACCCCCGCTGAGCGCCCAGGAATTTATTACACTCACTATCAAACGATAATTTGATGCCGTCCCACGCACACGGCTGGCAGCAGGGGACCACAACTGAGAGGAAACACGCCAGGATCTGAGCGTCAGGAAATGAGAGCAACTTCGTCCGCGACGCCTGGATTTTTCCCATAATTTCAAATTAAAAAAAATACACCACTGATGATGGTTTCTGTCTCAAAGGGATTCCTTATCTCAGCGAGTCCTCTTCTCCGTCTCTGCGGTTGTCACCGCAGCCGTGGGACGTGCGTGCTGGCCGGGATGACAGTTCTGCACACGTTCCCGCGGCCCCGAGCATCCCTGGGGGAGCCGTGCAGACCCGAGCGCGGGTCCTCGGCAGCCCCCTGCGCTCCCGGGGGCAGGTGCGTGGCGGTCCCAGCCCATCGGGAACGCGACTGCAGGCGGGGGACACTGCTGTGATGGCCCAGGGCCCCGTATCACCCTGGGGAAGGCTCTGGGGGGCTGGGTCTCCCCGGAATGGCTCTGGAAGGATTTCATGTAACCTTCTCTTTCTTTTTCTTCCTTCCTTTTCTTTCTTTCCTTTCCTTTTCTTTCTTTTTTTCTCCCTTCCTTCCTTCCTGTCTTTCTTTCTCTCTCTTTTCTTTCTTTCTTTTCTTTTCTTTCTTTTTCTTCCTCCCTCCCTTCCTTCCCTCGCTGTGGCTTTTATCATTCTGAGCGACAGCCCTCCACACCCACTTTGCAGACAGTTTCTATTACAAACAGATCTTGGATCTAGTCTATTCTGCGTCTACAACCATGACCATAACTTTTAGCCTTCCTGTGGGTCACGTGGTGAATCCCGCTGATTGATCTGTAGATGCTAAACCATCCTGTGCCCCTGGAACGAATCGGACTTGAACGCGGCGCACAACCCTTTTCAGTGCACTTGACTGGCTGGCATTTTGCTGAGGATTTCCGCATCCGGGTCCATCAGGGACACTGGCCTGTAAATGTCCTTCCTCGGGGTGTCCTTGTCCGAATATCAGGGTAACGCTGGCCTCAGAAGATGAGTCTGGAGGAGTCCCTTCCTCTTTTATT